GAGAGCTTAGCATAAATTGAAATAATTCACTGTTAGCATTAGGAAAATATTATTGCAACTAAGTGTTTCGAATGGCATCTCTTGCTTAACTGCATTCTTACTCTCGTTCTGTCTCGTTCTCTCTCTTTCTCCCTGTCTCTCTCTCTTTTGCAAACTGCTTTAATTTGATTAGTTAGCCAAGTTGTGTGACTTTTTTGTTCTGCCTTTCTCCTTCTTAGTGCTGTCTTGGCAAATTTATTTAAATGCCCACAAAATTGACCTGTGGCCATCCCCCGGCAATTAGAACAAATTATCAACTCGCTCACACGAACGCCACACGCACACGCACACACACACACACACACACACAGAGAGCGAGGGAGATAGACATTAATTATTCATAACTTGAACTGTGCTTCGCTCGCCTGAGCTGCCTTTGGTCGGGGGCCAGAGTCTGGCGCCTGGCGCCTGCTTGCTTGGCTGTCTCCATTTCCATGAGTTGTTGTCTTTGCCTTTGGGGAAATCTGCTGCTACTGACGGCTGCTCTATGCGTGTATATGTGTATGTGTGTGTGCGTGTGGTATACCTGGCCTGCGGTTAATGCCAACAGTTTCTGTTTAATGTCTGCCAAATGTCAAGTCAGCTGACCTGCGGCCAGAATGTCGACCGCTTAAAGTTCAACTGCAACTGACTCGAGCGGAAGTTGCATTAGTAACTGTATTTGTTGTTCCTTCCTTGGCGCGGAATTGTGGCAATTAATTTGTACGCACGCGTTTATGATCCACTTACAATTAAAATGCTCCAGCAGCCGTTGGCTGGGTTTGGCTTCGCTTCGCATTATTAGTCGCTGCGGCTATTCACATTTTTGCCTGCAGTCGGAGGCCGGCGTGGCGTATACTTAATTTGGCGCACTGCCCATTACCACTCGCTTCTTTTAATTATGTTGCAAATCTGCGAATGGCGGCCAATAAAGTAAAAACCCATTTGCATGCAGCACACGCCACAAATATGCAGCGCTCCAGCATGAAATTCTTACACACAACTATCTCGCACTTCCTCTGCTCCTCTCCCTCTCTCTCTCTCTCTCTCTCTCCCTCTCTGTCGGCTATCACCGTTCATGGTCAGGTGGGGAAAAAAATAAAATAAAAACACACATATTTATACATGTATATGTGTATAGTATGTGCACAAAAATATTTACTTAATTACACGCTGTGGTTGCCAAAGTGCACACCTCGCTGCTGCGTTCGCTGATTATGTGTCATGTCCTGCATAATTTACATGTAATACCGTTATGCTCGTGGGCCAACAGAATATTAACCATAGAGTTTATAAAAACATGCTCATGTAGCGGTTGCATGCGCACAAACTGCGTCGCTTGCATCAAAATGTGCTCTTGGTCAGCTAGAAAATAGGCAACACACTATACGTATATTGAATATATGCATATGTATATAGTATATGTAGAATGAAATGATCATAAGCTAATCAACATGGATTGCTCATAGTATGAATATGACATGGAAATTATAATGTTAATCTAATACAAATCGTCTGCAATTGATAAGCTTAGCATCTTCACCCGACTATTTGTATACATATTTATTGTTCAGCATTTTATTTGTACAGTAGATCGGAATCGCTATCAAAGTCATCTTTCATCGTCACGTAATATTATAATGTTAAGAGTTGAGAAAATGCCACTGACGCGGTTTTTATTGAGATGAGTGCAGAGCTTGAATCAGTCTGAAAATAAATTCAATGAAGCAGTTCAAGCTCGAAATCCAATCAAATATGTAGAAGTATCTCAAGCTGATCATATTAGTATCAATTAGTGTGATATATGTATATATATATATATATATATATTTTAGTAATGCAAAGCCAAGAGAGAATAAGATGCGCAGTGTGGTAAATGCTGCTATCAGATTGTGTGCTTAGGGCTCATCTGTGTTTATTTTTTTTTTGGTTTAATCATCACTTGTGCAAATGAGATTTGATGCTCATTGTTCCCTTTAAGCCATTTGAGTCCGTCTGGATATACGCCATTCAGATTGCTAGAAAGAGGGAAGAAATACAAATGGTTAGCATAGTCAAAGGGAATCAGTTGATCTCTGACTTACCAGTGATAACATTTATCAAACCACCAGCCAGACAACCACTCACTAGCGCAATGCAGCTGATCAGCGTTATCATTGTCGCGATCTATTGTGGAGAACTTGGCACCAACATGATGGGAGAGCATGTTGCCAGCGCTTCCAGTGTATGTGCCCAATGATTTAATTTTGTACGATTCCGTTTCGTCGGCGATAAGAAAATAATCATAGTAAGCGTAAGTTGATTCGTTGGCAATATTTCGCATAAATATGAAAAGCTCGTGCGGCTGGGAGCTGGTAAGCAAATGTAATTTCTCTAGTCCCAAAAAAAACTCGTCTTGGATTTGGCCAAATCCCTGAACATATTCGTTCCAATTGCGGTTAAAGTCAACCTTGCCATTCATTCGTCTCTGTACAACGGTCCAGCCCGGACCCCCCAAGCTCGAAACGCATGAAAAATCGGCCTCTTGCACATCGCTTGAATTTCTCGAACAACTCAAACCTTTCGCGTCAAGAGAATTACTTTGAATTTTCAGCTGCTCTTCCAGCTTGGAGGTCTCCACACCTGCCCTAGACCTACAATCGATGATATCAAGTTCCAGTTGCTTGATATCTGCTTTCTTGTATTCGACCAGCTCGTCTTTGGCAGCCAACTTGGATTTGCATGAGGCTAGCAATTGATTCTGACTCTCAAGTCTCGCATTCTCTAGCTGCATGTTCTTGATAATTGTCGCTTGCTCGTCAATTTTGTTCACAAGGCTTTCCACGTCCTCATTCTTTGCGGACACCTTAGACAGGTGCTGCAGAAGCGGCTTGACAATACGATAACAGTACTTTCCACATGTATCTCCCAGTTCCTTTTCGGCTGCACAGTTCTAAAAATCATGTTATTCTTACTTTCCCATTCACCTGCTCATTCAATTTCGCGCAACTAACCAGAAAATCGACTTCATAGCCGTAACTCAGTTCCAGTAATGCGCAAATTATCAAAATTGTCAAGTTTTTATTCATCCTGAACACAGTCAACCGTTGCGTCGTCTCGCTGCGCTTCTTTGATGAAAACTGCTTTGATCCATGGCTCATCTCTACAGATTAATTAATAGAAATATTGCACTGTTTAGCAAATTATCGAAATTTTGAATACCTACTTGCTAGATGTTTACAGATATTATTGAACAATAATGGAATGAGTATTATGCAGCAGATAGTACGCGGCTGCTACAGTTCTTCTCTTCTCATTTCTCAGTCAGCTGAAACAAAGTCGAATTTTGTTGAACAGTGTTTTTTATAGTGTATATTTTTGGAAATCTTTGAAAAATAACAATTCAAGGGGTATTGAATTTGTTAAGCTATATGTAACGGTCATAAGCTATAATACATAGTTTATCGCCTCAGCAGTCCATCTGGGGGTCTGTATGTAAATAGAATATAAATATTGGTTTAGCTTTAGTCTAGTCTAGTCTACGAGATCCCCTGAATCCTTCGAGCAAATGATATATCAACAAATAATCGCACATGCACACACACACACACACACACACGCACACACAGGCAGTGTGGGCTTACAACGGGAAATGAATTGTTTAATAACTTTTCTTGTGGATGGACTATCTATATGATATATATAGGGTATACAAATATTCATCCAAATTTATTCTTAAGCTATTCCCGCGAATTCATTGAGCATCTTGCTATATAGAGAGAGAGAGAGAGTATTGCTTATCAACAATTTGCACTCTGTATAAATATATATAGAGGTCGTCAACTAATCAATGCTCACTCGCAATTGACTTCAAGGCCTCTGGAGGTGATCGTTAATATCACCTGCATGATTGTACAATAGGCATGAGCATGAGTCCCTTATATATTTTATAAATAAATAAAAACAAGTAAGAAGACTCTAGTCAAGACTGCTCGACTAGGAGATACCCTGAACCCTCCA